TATGCGAGCAAGGCAGGATTAGGTGGTTGGCTTGCAAGATGGTGACTGCTTTGTGTGATTCCTCTAATGGAGTCATATTTTGGAGTCCTAAACTTGTTGTATAGAGGATGTTTGTAGCTATATGTTATTTGATACATATAGTTGTGTACTGGATTGTATATGTTGTGTACCCCACATACATTTTACTTTATGCATGATGTTTCTTTCATTTTCTTATTACATGAAATTTTTCTTACGAATTTTTATGAAAAATTCACAGGAAACGTTGTTCTTACAAATTTTTCTACGAAATTTTATCTGTAGGTAATACCTTCGTGGATAATATATTTTTGTGAATTTTAAAATTCGCAAGAAATTTTCCTGCGAAATTTTATGCGAAAAAAATTTGCAGGAAAGTTTCCTGCAAATTTTTTCGGAAGAAATTCTGCAAGAATATTTTTTACGAAAAAATTAAAGAAATTACTATAAATTCTATCAATAATTCTTCAACTTTCAAATGCTCACAATGAATTCATCCGAAGCATTTATTCCCATGCCTCCAACATGTGATACATAATCTTTTAAATTCTAAGATTGTAGATTATAAGTTTAACATTCAACCATACAAATCAACTTGTAAGGTAAGTGTTGCTTCAACTTATATAGTCTTTAATTGTTTTATTTTCAATCGACGTGGGACATGAAGTTTTTTTAAAATATTAAACTTATAAATTTAAATATTTTTATGATTTTTCCTGCGGAGTAAAATTGGTAGGAAAATCCACAAGAAAAGTTACTTGTAAAATTTTTCTACTATTTAGTAAACATTACTTGCAAATTTATTTTTGCAAGAAAATATGCAAGAAACAAAATAAAATTCTTACAATATTTTCTGCAAATTTTTACCATGAAAAATATTTTCTACGATCATTAAAATTGTAGCAAAAATTGCAAAAATTTCTTGTAAATTATTTTTCGTAAAAAAAAATTGTAAGAAATATCTGTAAATTATTTTTCGCAAATAAATTCGTAAAAAAAATTTGTGAAATTATTATTGCAAGAAAATTCGCATAAAAATTCTGCGAATATTTTTTTATAGGAAAATTTGCAAGAAAATGACACTTTTCTAGTAGTGTTAGTATCATGAAAAGACAATAACATATCATGAGGTACAATTATTCCTTTGAGGTGTCTTTTCAAGCGTTGAAAAACTTGATAGAAAATCACAACTCATTTTCACATGCAAAATAAAAAATCAACTTCAAAGTATGTTATTGAACCATGAAAATTAAATACTCAATTCACACATTTTTTGTTTATTTATTTATTTTTAATTAGTAAGTCCCTAATTGCATAAAATAACCTCATACATATCTTTCTTCATTTATATAAAGAAGAAACCTAACTCTAAAAAAGACACAAGATAAGTGAGTTTATAAATAATATTAACAGTTAAAAATTGAGCTTATAATAATATTTTTTATAATCTCTTGAAGGACCAGTTAAAAATATTAGGTTTCATAGTAATAATTTTTCCTCCTATCTTGAGACTTAAGAAGTACATGAATTATTTGAGTTATACATGAAACTCTTGAGGTGAGTTATCTTATTATTTTTTTTTTATAATGTTTTTATCTTAATTAATAGCATTTGAAACTTTATCTTATTTGGTTATCAAAACAATTAGTAATAATCATTTGGATTTCTTATAAAAAATATTAAATAATATAAATAGCAAAAGGTTATTATACAATTGTTTGTGGAGGATTTCGTTTGTAGGTTCTTTTTATTCGAACTAGCACGATTTCAATTTATGCGTGTTCGGGACATGACAGATTCGAAGACTTTTAGTGAAAAATCATACAAACAACAAATAGAGTTAATCGATTAGGGTGTTATTTTAGCATAATAGAAGATCTATGCTTGTTGTTTTAGCATAACAGAATACCTATGCTAATCATACAATCAATTTCATGCATGTAAGTGTTAACGTGAATCGAACAAATGACATGTATATTGACTGCAGAAACCATATCCTTCATTAGATGATAATAAAATTACAATTCGTAAGGATAACAAAACAGATTCAGAAGACTACACTACACTAGACTATGCTACGCTACGCTACGCTAAAAAAGGAAAAAGAAAGGTGGTCGAGAAACCGTACCCAGCTGTTCTCGTATGCACGTCTTTTGATAACTCATTCTCGAAATGCATAACTGCTCTAAACTTCCACATCGTGGCTCATTCTCGAGCACATCTTTTGATAACTCCTGAAACCGTCCATAACTTCCCCAAACCGTTCTGCAGTCTTTGACACTTATTCCATGATTTACTTCAATCGTTCTTAAATCATGTCTCCTTTAAGTTCTTCATTCTTAGAGGTTGCGAAGTATGCTCGTGTATATCCGGATCCCTGGGATTTCGAGTAACTAACGAAACATATACTTGAGTGTTTCCTGATTTTCTTGTACTTTGAGAGGTTGCGAGGCTGTGAGCCTTTTTCATGAGCAACAGCTTCAAGGTTCAAGGATTTTCGAGAGGTTCACGAAAAACGTCTTCGCGTATCCTCAGTCTTCATATGTCTCCTCTTTCAAAGACTTTCTCGGCCATTTTCCGATCACCTAAGATTTCGAGCACCCCTGTATTTCGAGTATCTCCGAATTCTTTTTGGTACTAACAACAATGCATAAAAAAAAAGTTAAACTCTTATCAAAATATCATTAATCTTAAGTTTAACCAATTTCTCCTGGCTGCACATGTCGTGTAACTAGTAGTGGAAAATTGTAATTTCATGAATTTTATGAATAATATTATTGTGATATTCGAGTTTAATTTTGATGCACGACTAGAAACTACTTTAAATATAAGCTTTAACTTAATTAGTATAAAAATAAACAATCTATTCATAATTTATTGTTCAATGACAATGTAATTTTTTATTCTATAAGAATGTGTTTATAGTTTAATTTTCATATTATGATGTATATTATTTTTTACATAATTAATCAAGTAGAAATTACTAGTAGACATAATATTTAAGAGAAAAAAAACTAACAATTTTAAATACGTCTTTCTAAGTTTAAAAGAATTATTTTTAAATAAGTACTTTTATAAAAAAAAAAATTTTTAAATGGATAAGAGTTACTTCTTAAAAAATAAAAAAAATATTTATTTTAAAAAAAGAATCTTGAAAAATACATAAAAAAATAAAATAAGGTGATTATTTTATTAAAAAAAATATTTTGATAAGAAAAAATGTAAAAAACGAACCATATATTTATTAATATATGATTTAATGACATTTTCTTTTAGGAAACCACAATCTTAAAGTTATAGATAGAACTAATACATGTCGTGGATCTTTTCTTTCAAATATATAAAGCGGTTGTATACTCAAATACAAATTCAAAATTACTTATTAAGTATTCTAATGAGCAAACAAAGTAAGTGTTTTGTTATTTTAAGTTAGATTGCGTTATATAAAATGATAAAGTATTATAATGAATGACTCATAGATTATTAGGATTAGTTTATTGATTGGGGAAGAGTTAGAGTAAAAGAGGGAGGACCTAGATTTGATTTTTGTTACATTTTTTTATAATTTTTTTTGTAGAGATAAAATCAGTTCATGATATGTACATTTTTTTTAAAGGAATTTCTAAAATATCTTAACCTTTTTTATTCTTTAATTTTTTTAATTTACTACTTTTTCTTTCTTTTCCACACTTCCTTTTTATCTTTAATTTTCAATTTTTATATGCACTTCTTTGTCTTTCACCACTTTCCACTTATTTTAGTAGTTAGTTTTAATTATTTCAATTATCACATTACTCTATTTTTCTTTCTCCTCTTTTAGTTTTCACACTCACCAGAGTTGTAGAATTGGTGTGTGATAACGTTGTAAGCACGTACAACTTCCTCGACGACGTTGAAGGTGTCGAACTAGGTGTACCTCCTCTTTCACACTTCCAGAAATCTTAACATTAAATTTATAAACAATTTAGTTTTTTTGAAAAGTACTTCATATTTTTTAAAGTACTAAGAAATTAGTGTTTTGAAAAATACTTTTGAAAATTATATTCTTTTCCATACTTTCAAAAAGTACTATTTGAACACTAAATTTATTATTTCAAAAAGTTATTTTTAGAAGTATGTAAACATAATTTTGAAAAATATTTTTCAGAGTACTAATTTCACTATTAGAAAAGTATTTTTCGGAAATGTGTTGTTTTACATAATTATGAAAAGTTATTTTTAGAATATTAAAATTAGTGTTTCAAAATGTACTTTTCGGAAGCATGTAAAAAATATAATTTTAAAAAGTACTTTCTAGAATACTGCTTTCACCAATTCAAAAAGTATTTTTCAGAACACTAAAATTAATGTTTTCAATGATATTTTTTGGAGCACTAAATTTAGTGTTGTTACTTCTTGGAAGTGTGAAAGAGAAAAAGTACTCACAAAAAAATGCGTGTTTGGCTCAACACCACTAACCCTATCAAGGAAGTCATACGTACTTACATTGTCGCACACCAATTCTATGTTCTAGGTGCGTGTGAAAATTGAAAGTGAAGAGAGAAAGGGTAACATTGTAAAAACTAAAGGGAAGGAGAGAAAGAGAGTAATATAAAAATAAAAAGAATTAAAATTACCTACTAAAAATAAGTGAAGAATGAAAGAAAGATGACTGCTATATGTGAAAATTGAGAGGGAAAAAGAATGAGATGTGTGAAAAAGAAGGAGGATATGTTAAATTAAACTTAGAAATGTAAACTTAATTTTTTTTTAAAAAATATTAAAAATATAAAGAATTTATTTTTTTAAAAAAGAAGTGTACTTATTAAAAAAAAGTAATGTATGTATCATGAGCGCCTAAAAAGTGAGTGGGCCCAAAATAATTGAAATGTGATTTCTGGAATTGAAATGCAATGCGATATTGGGCCTAAGAAATAAAAGGTTCAGATATTGGGCTTACATATGTTCACTAGCCGAAACCAAAACAAACTTTTTAGTTTTTACTATCCAAAAGTTTCTTTTTCAGAAAGAGAACCGCACCCAATTTCTTACATCACACTCTTCTTCTTTCAATTCGAAATTCGGATAATGGTGTCTCTATTCTCGCCACCACCTTCATCCTCCAACATTCAATCACGCCAAACTCGCTTCTTCTCCACTCTCTTCCTTCCACCACGGTATTACTATTACTCACTCTTTACCTTCTTCTCTCTCTCTCTCCGTTAATTAACACCGTTACTTCCCTATAGGAGCGTCCGATTCCAATGCGACTGCGAGAAAAATTACAAACGGAAAACGGTACGGTGCGGCGTTACGAGCGCGAGCGCGCCCCCGCCGCCGTCAACGTCGTTGGCGAAGGAGCCTCACAAATTCTTCGACCACGTAGTCATCACCGTTCGCGGCGGCGACGGCGGCCATGGCGCGGTGCTGAACGATAGAGTGAAGCAGGAGCAGGGAAAGGCGAAGAAGAAAGGGAAAGGCTCTCTGAAGAGAGACTTCGACGGCTCACTGATACTCCCCATGGGAGGCCACGGCGGTGACGTGGTGGTCTACGCCGACGAGGCGAAGGATACGTTGCTTGAGTTTCACAACAAGAGCCGGTATCACGCCAAACGCGGTGGCAACGTGGATGCCATGGGCGCTTTGACGTCCTCGTTGCGCAATGGACTTGCCGCACCGACTCTGCGCATTCCAGTTCCTGTAGGTTTGTATGCTCTGGTTTTTGTGTAAAGCGTTGAAAAATGATACAATAAAATCATCTTAGGAGTGACAATATATTTTCAAGTTAGAAGTGGGAGAAAAAATCTCTTTATTTTCTGCAGAAAAACTCTAAAAATCTTTTCCACTTTTGGATTTATACAGGCTATATTTCATTTGTGTGTTGTTAGATTTGTGTTGGTGGATATGTTTTTGTTGATGAATGCATAGATGTTAACACTTTTTTTTTCTAATTTTTTTTTTTTAAGAATTTGTAAAGGGTTTTAAATTGCGGTCGCGGTTGCGGTCGCGGTTGCAGTTACTGCGATTGCGGGTATTGCGATGCGGATTGCGGCTGTTGCGGTGTGAGATTATTAATTATTTTCACTAAATATAAAAAATTTATAATTATCAATATATATTTTATTTTTAAGGATTTATACATTTTAATTCTTTTTTTTTAAAATATTCTATTATTTTAATGAATAATTTAATTTATTTTAAAATTATAGTATCAATTTATCGTATTGCGGATGTATTGCGGTACATTGCAGATGTGTTGCGGACGCAACACCGTTACGTTGCGGAAAAATGTGTGATTTCCAGTATCATCGCAATTGCGGTCCGATGCCATTGCGGACAAGGCCGCAACAGCAATATTGCGGCCGCAACACGTGTTGCGGTCCGCAATTTAAAACCATATAGAGAGTAGAGACTGGTAAAATATTTAGTTATCCTTTTAGTCTGGTTGTTTCATGAACTTTATCTTAGTTCTTATAATTTAAAATATTTCATTTTAGTTTTATATATATTATTTTTGTTTCCTTTTACCCTTGAAGCTGCATAAACTTTACTTTTTAATTTCTATAGAAATAGATGACATGGATTAAAAAGGACCAAAAATAATATGTAGAGACTAATATGAAAGCTTTCTAGTTATAAGGACTAGTAAAGTTTATGAAATTATAAAGAGCTCTTTTCTTTATTATATCATAGTGGATATATAAAAAATAATGGAAAAACACAGGGCATTAAAAATGAGGATATTGTGTTTAACTGAATAACTGTTATTTTACTTGGCAGATGCTTAAATTGTTTTAACCTCCATTGCACTCCTCTCCCCTGACTGATGATTATGTGTTGCATTATAATCCATTTCAATGTAAACGAGATTCTGAGGGATATGTGTTTTTTATTCACGTTTTGATTATTGACATCATTGATGGGTAATTTTGAACCTCTGTGATTGACTTTGGTAAGGGAGTTTAAGATTTTGGACAAAGTTGTGAAACCTTTTGTAGGAGTGTTTAAAATTTTATTATATTTTTTGAAGTTTTGTAATCAACAATAGAGGCAGTCTTTTAGGTTGTAGGCAATAATGAACGCTGTAACTCAAGTATTTTTTTATGGGAGCATTGTATAATTTGCTCTACAAAAAAATATGATTGCACTCATCGAGTTTATAAATGTGACAGGCACTGTTGTGAAAAGCAAACGAGGGAAGATGTTAGCTGATCTAGCACAACCTGGTGATGAAGTTCTTGTTGCGAGGGGAGGACAAGGAGGGGTACTATACATAGTTGAAATTCTTTTAAAATCTGTTTTGTTTTCTTTGTTTTTGAGTTGAATTAGGCTAATTTAATCCGTTAAAGACATGGCTGGATTGTTTACTGGTGTGAGATAGGTTGTACTGTTTCAAATCTATACTTCTATATCTATACTTATTATAAAGGGGATATATTTTGGTAACCATCTCTTTGGTCTCCACTTTTTAGTGGACCATTATACCCCTTAAAATGTAAAAAAAAAAAAAAAATTCTTATATTTTTTTTAAATAACTATCTGCAACTTTTAATATTTGTTTGTGTGTAATTATTAGAGACACAAAGTGCCTCGGTCCCTCTAGTTGGTGATAAAGAGAAATAATTAGACATTTAGACCATTGGAGTTAAGATATACATATAAATAATTTTGGCACAACATTAAGGTTGCTTTCTTATGACCTTAAAGTCGAGTCATAGGTTTAAATCCTGGTAATGGCCTCTTTGGTTGTGTGGGGGGTAAGGAAGGATACATACATCTACCCTCCCTAGTTCCCAGTAGGTTGGAACATTGTGCACTGGGCTGCCCTTTTTATTCATTTATTCATGGCATATACCTATCTCCAGTTTATTATTTTTGTACTTTACACCTGAATCTGATTTTTCTTTTTTGCTTTCCAGATTAGCTTGTTAGAAATGCCACAGCATAAAAGAAAAAAGATGATGGCTTTGACAACTAATGTGATGAGAGATGACTCAGACAAGGTAATGTTTATTGAACATTTTATGTGTAATGGAATATTTCTTGTATTGTCCTCCTTGGAAAGATATCATTAGTGACATCTTATAGTTACAATCTTCTGTGCAAATTGAATACCTCATACAAGGATAAAATCGACAGGGTTCTTCTCTTGCTGTCTCAGTTTAATCAAAGTTCATTTGAATTTTGCAATACATAATTTGTGATCAGTTCTTTTGTTCAAGATGCATGCTCATCTGTCACTATTTTTGCTGTGGGTCTAGGAATGTGATTTTAAATTTTCAATTCTAATATTGGGCTTTGCAGGAAATGAAAAGTTGTCTTGAATCTTGAAACAATAGTATTTGAAATTTCTGCATTTGAAAGTTATGTTCTTATCTCACCATAAGTATAACTTTCAATTTAAAATTTTTCAGGTTTTAGTCCATGGCCAACCTGGCGAGGAAGTCAAGTTGGAGTTGATCCTACGAGTTGTTGCTGATGTTGGTCTGGTTGTAAGTTTCGCATCTATACATAATGCCCTATTTAATTAGTAATGGTTTGTCTCACTTTTATCTTCATAACAACTATATTCAATGTTGGTGTTAATGAATCAATTTAAGCGTGTTATCTCTATATCAAGGAAGATTATGTTGTCATTGTTGGGAAACTAATTATTGGTTTTATCATGGCTTGGAGTTTGTGATAGATGACGAGGAGAGGTGTAGTAAAACTTCAGTGTTTTGTTTTTTTGTTTTTGTTTTTGTTTTTGTTTTTGTTTTTTTTTTCCTTTGTTGTGTGAAATCATTTGTTTGTTTGGTGAGCAAAGGTCAACTGTATATTGGTTGTTTCTTACTCTTTGTCATCCAGATGTTTCATTCATTCATTCATTTATTTGATCAAAGTTAATCTTATTGTAGGGACTTCCAAATGCTGGGAAATCCACACTTCTGGCAGCCATTACACTTGCAAAACCTGATATTGCTGATTATCCTTTTACAACATTAATGCCAAATCTTGGACGCCTTGGTGGTGATCCCAGCTTAGGGGCAGAAATGTATTCGTCAGAAGCTACATTGGCAGATTTGCCCGGTCTTATAGAAGGTGCTCACTTAGGAAAGGTATCAAGTATTTTTGCTCATGTCAAATTCCCCCATTTCAAACCACTGAGATGCTAAATATCAAGGCTTTTGTCTTTCACTTTCAGGGTCTTGGTCGCAATTTCCTGAGGCACCTCAGGAGAACCCAGCTACTGGTCCATGTTGTTGATGCTGCCGCTGAGAATCCTATAAGTGACTATAGAACTGTCAGAGAAGTATGTGTTTTACCCTTGTTGATTGAATATAGTTTTTTTTTTTTTAATCCATTTAGACTCATTTTTTTTATTGGTTCAACAACTTTGTTTGAAATTTTGGTTTATTTACTTTACATACTTGAAAACTCTCAATTCTAACAATTAGAAGGGAGTTTACTCGGACAATTGATCTTTTTATTTCGGATTAATTTCATCTTAAAATTCATCTATTTGAAAGTCATGTTAAGATGCTTTATTGTTGATAAGCCAGCTAGGCAAAGTAGAAAATAATCTGTGGTCAGACCATCTTTTCTTGTTGTAATGAGTTTCCTTCCCCTGTCTGTTTTTAAACCTGCTCATGCTCTCTCCATGAAAATTCTGTTTTGCAGGAGTTGCGCATGTATAATCCTGAGTACCTTGAACGACCGTATGTTGTAATTTTGAATAAGATTGACCTACCAGAGGTATGTGGTGCCCGAGCTTCTATGTGAGTTAAGTATTATATTTTAATTTCCTTTTATTTTGAAAACATGTTCACCTGATTATAATTTTAGGCAAAGGACAGACTTTCATCATTGACTCAAGAAATTATGAAAATTGGCAATGATGGTGCTGCTTCGGAATCAAAACCAATTTCTGAAGTTCCAGCTCAATTGTCTGATGAAACTGACGTGAAGGAAAAAAGACTTGAGGACTATCCACGACCTCTCTCTGTTGTTGGAGTTAGTGTTCTGTAAGTGTTTGACAGTTTGTTTTATACTTTTCTTTTATGAGGTGTTTTTCTTCTTCACACATGTAGTAGTTGAATTGATAATTTAATATAGTTTACTTTTAATATTTTTCACATTGGCTTAGGTCAATTTCTTGTTGCTTGCAGAAAAGGTATAAGGATAAACGAGATGTTAAAGGAGATAAGATCAGCTTTAAGGAAGTGTTCAGATTCCAATAAAACATTGGCTTCAAGGGTTTCACCTTGAGATTTGCCTGCCATATACTTTCTGATGTTGCTTTTCAACTAGACTTTCTCGGGAGGACTAACCACAAGTAAATTGGTTCTGGTATAAATTTGGCTATTCTAGGAAATCATAGATGAAGAAAATTTTCAGTTTGTTTCAGAGAAATATTCGAGTGAAACTGAATTACATTTTTGTATGCATAAGATTGACAATTTGACATGATAACTTGTATCATACAAGTAAATTGGTTCTGGTATATATTTGGCTCTACCAGAAAGTTATAGATCAAGAAAATCCAGTTTGTTTTAGAGAATTATTGGTGTGAAACGATGGAGATGTTATGAGTCTTTACTCCAAATTTCTGAACTTCGATATTTTTGTAAGCATAAGATTGACAATTTGACATGATAAGTAATATCGATTGTAATAAACATGAAAAAAAATTATTACAACAAGAAATGTGGTATTTCCTAAGTAAAAAAAATTTCAATTATTTTTTTATTTTTTTTATTAATATTTTAAGATTTCGTTTTAGACTATGATGTAAAGTCTTATCAAAGAACGAATTTAGACATTATCTTAACTACCTGATTTTAGATTTAATACATTAATTATTTATATTCAATTCGTTCTTTTATTTTTCTGTAATTGTGCATTGGGTTAAATGATTTCATGTAATTGGAAAAATGGTAGTTTTGCCTCCTAAAAGCAAAATACTGCTTACCAGTCTTTGAGTAGAAAGCGTGGAGTTTAGTGTAACTGAAAATTCGTACTGATATTCAAATATACAATGTACTACTTAACCACGATATAAAATAAATAAATAAATAAAAGTAAAGTGATAAACATAACTCCTAGGAATCAAGATTTTGAAAACTTCAAATCAGACAAAATAGCAAAGTACGTTGCAACTGTTCCTCGCTGATACTCTACCGTACCCAAGGAATTCTGTCCTCAGAAACTTACCAAAAAGAGTGACACCATGCATTATAAAAGGAGTTCTGTCTTCAGAAGCTTACCAAAAAGAGTGACACCATGCACTATAAATTAGAATAACCTTGTATACAGGGAGTAAATAGGAGTAAATAAGAGTAAATTAGAATAGACCCTTGTATACAGGGAGTAAATAGGATACATAAGGAGTAAATAGGAGTAAATAAGAGTAAATTAGAATAGACCCTTGTATACAGGGAGTAAATAAGATACATAAGGAGTAAATAGGATGAGTAAATAGGAGTAAATAATATTTCTCGGATATTTAATATCAAGTAATGTTACATGTACAACAAAAATTGTATATTATTATTTTTGTGAATACCTCTATAATTAATAACATCTCTTTTTATAATAAATAAAGTAATGGAGAGAGATAAATACAAATTATTGTAGAATTTTTATTACATATGTAACATGAGGGGAGTTATAATTATACCGGTATAACTTTTACTAAGTGTTACATTATTTAATAATTTTATATTAAATGCGAATTTTGTAAATCCAACTGTTAAATTGAAAGTTCATATCTCTTAGATCATATATACAAAATTTTATATCAATCTAAGATGATTTGATACTTCATTTTTATAAAAAAAGATTAACGTAATATATTCATTTCAAAATATATTAAAATATGAACACTTTGATCACCTTCAAATTGTTGTTCAATTTTAATAAAATTTAATATAAAGTAATATGAAATTTTAATCTAACGATTGGATTTATAAAATTCACATTTAATATAAAGTTATTGAGTAGTGTAATACTTAGTAAAAGTTACACCGTGTAATTATAACCCTCATCATCTAACATTATTCTTTAATATCCGGTTTTTCATCCACCACTATTACTTTTGTTAAAACTTTGTATACTCATGATTCTCTATTGTGATGACAACCAATTAGTTCAGTTCGATTCTTTTATTTTGCATTTTTTATTTATAGGTATTGAGAAGTGTATTTGAAGGTTACGCTGCACAGTTCTTTTATTCCTTACCCATGCTTAGAGAAACCACTTCTTTTTTATTTATTAACTGTAACAAACAAAAGAAAAGGCACTAAACTAGTTGCTGTGATGCAAAATGCATAACAATAAATATAAAAAACAATGTAAAATGCTGATCAATTTTGGTGAACTGACTTCTTTTTATTTATTAACTCCAACAAACAAAAGAAAATACAATAAACTAGTTGCTGTGATGCAAAATGCATGAAATAAGCATAAAAAAATATAGCAAAATGCTGATCAATTTTGGTAAACTGACACGTGTGGCAAGTGGCACTTGTAAGTGTCTCAGTCCATTAGATCTGTTTTTAGCTCTACTAAGGTGTACTGGTGACTGTTTTCAACTCCCGCACTTTGAAAAAACCGGGGTATCAGTTTCTTTGACTTTGTTTTTATTCATTCATGACATGTATTAATATTTTCATTTTTCGGGGCATAGTTATCTTGAACCGTTTCCTCCAAATGTCACCGCACTCACAAAATAGTAAATGACTAATATCCAAGTCCAAATTAATTTCTGTAGAAAAAAATAAAAATAAAAAAATATTGCAGATAAACTCACATTATTCAAAGCAAACCGCTTCCTCTCTCCCACAGCTTTAATATCCCCCTTATCCTTCATTACTTTTATTCATCCTTCAAGGCTTCATTTAATTCATTAAATAAAAAGAAAAGAGCGAAAATAAGGAACTCAATTGACATTTTTTCTCTCGATTCTTCGCCATCTGAGTATGTAAACAAACAAAGGCCCTAGCCAAGTGTGTACAAGAGAAACCAACAGTGAGGATCATAGTTGCCACGACATGCCTGGTTCACAATGCCAAGTAGCAACTCTACTCCACTAAAGGCCACGTCTCAAAGTACTCGTAATTACTATATATTTACATTCACACACCAGTTTTACCATTATAAATACCCCCATCACCCCCATTCCTATTTCCTAAACCAAACCAAAGACCTCTCTCCCTTGGAAACTTTGTCCAGTGTTAAGAAACCAGACATGGGAAATGATGATGATAAGAAGAAGCCTGTGAAAAAACCAGCACAGGCTAGCTCCAGAAAGGGTTGCATGAGGGGTAAGGGAGGTCCTGAGAATGCTGCTTGCACCTACAAGGGTGTGAGGCAGAGAACTTGGGGGAAATGGGTCGCTGAGATCCGTGAACCAAACCGTGGTGCACGCCTCTGGCTTGGCACATTTGAAACCTCTCGTGATGCTGCCTTGGCCTATGATGCTGCTGCCAAAAAACTCTATGGATCTGATGCAAAGCTGAACCTTCCAGAGGTTCATCAGCCTCCAAACTCAAACCCTCCTCCAAGCCCTCCAACTCCCCAAATGTCACCACAGCCTCAAATTCACAACACCACCTTTGATGTTGTTCCTGATGTCAACCCTTCTGATTTCACCAACAACATGGTCAACAGCAACAACCCTGTGCTCTCCATGGCCTCTCACCAGGTTGGTGATGTGCCAGTCTATACCAGTGACTCAATTGTGTCCCTTCCTTTTGAAACCACCCACAACAATGTCACCCTTCCATATGAAACCATCAACGACCATGTCTCTCTTCCATATGGAACCAACACCCACACTGTCCCCCTTCCATATGGAACCAACACCAACCATGTCAGCCTTCCATATGGAACCGACCCCAACCATGTCTCTCTTCCGTTTGGAACCCCCAACAACCATGTCTCCTTTCCATATGAAACCAACAATGTCTCCTTTCCATATGAAACCAACAATGTCTCCTTTCCATATGACTTCAACAGCAATGTCTCTCTCCCATTTGGAACCAACTTCACTGTTCCGCAAATGGAGAATTTCTCCTTCTACAGCAACTCTTTCTGGGGGATGATGAACGAGACTGTTCCTATGCTTGATGAATCCATTTGGACTGATGATGCTATGACCCTTGATTTTCCTTTTGTTGCAGATGATGAAATCTTTGGAACTGGAAATTTCCCTGATGTGGGTGGATGGAACTATGGCGAAGACGACAACGTCGACGACAACAGCCCTCCTCCTCCTTGGATGTAAACAGTGGTTAAATGAACTATTTCATGAGACAACGATAATAGTAATAAATAAAGCTTGTCTCATCATGATGAAGACCTTGGATCACCAGATATTATGTATATGTATATAATAAGTATGTAAAAAACTATGGCTTATGAAGCTTATTATTAGTTAAGTATATATATATATATCTATTATCGGCCTAATAGTATAGGTCTATCTTATGGTTGAAACTTTCCCGTAAAGTTGTTAAAGGATGTCGTGATGATGTCCTAATGATATTAAGATGGCGCGCATTTCCTTCTGTGTTATATTATTAGAATATTATAATAAGCGCAGCTTATATTATATATCTCTTGTTGTCTTTAAAATTCTGTACCATATTGTTTGAATATTTTTATAAGCCGTGTATCTTATTATATTATAGTTATGGACATAGGTCTTTCGCATCAGTAGTAATGTCTTTTGTGACGGAAGTTCTGCGGCATATTTCTTATGTATCAGTGACAAAATTCTGCGACATATTTCTTTTGTATCAACAGCCAAGTTCAGTGACCTTAATTTTTTCGATCACCGAGAAATTCGTTTCCGTCCTGTTTCCATCCTATAACCTAGTCTTTCGTTTTTTCGGTTTTCTTCTTGTGACTTAACCCTTTCTTATCAGCAATGAAGTTTTCGTCATGTAACTTAATATAAGTAGTGAAAATGTAAATAATATTATATTATTGTACGTAAATATATTAAATGGAATAATGGAAGAGGGGTTTTTTCGGTTTCCGTCCAATGACCTAACTCTTTCGTATCAGCGACGAAGTTTTCGGCCTGTGACCTAATTCTTCTGTATAAGTAGTAATGTAAATAATATTATATTACTATACGTAATTATTATAAATAAAATTGTGGAGGTGTTAGCAACTTGTTATAATATCATATTTAAATGGATGTATTAAAGAATAGTGATGGAGTGTACTTTGACTTGATTCTTTATATTAAAAAGAACATTATCATATATAAAAAGTATACATCCAGCAAAAAGTGCTAATAGTTTATTTATTTATTTATTTTTTATATTATATTACATATAAATATTATATAACAGTGTTAAAGAAATATAATAGAATAATAGTACTTATGACTTGACTGATTATAATATTATTGTACATAAATACTTTACGGTAGGGTTAGGGTTTAGAAGATGCACGTAAATACTTTAGGGTTTACGGGTAGGGTTAAGAAAATTTACGTAAATATTACCTAGTATTTACCTGTAGTACTAAGAAAAAGTAAGGTGATGAAGTAACATGATTTAATATGGCTAATATTTAGCGGATAATGTTTAGGAAATGTAATGTGATGGAGTAATAGGATTTAATAGGACTTAAACCCTAAAAATAATAGGGATCGCGACTCTTGACTAGTTGCTGTACATGTATGTTTCATGCATATAAATAATCTTATATTTTCTAATGTACAAGAACCAAGAATACTTTATACAGATGTAGTTTTTGTTCGAAATAATGATTAATTTTGGTTTATATAACCATTTCTTTATCCACGTTATCTCCTTACATTATAAGGGATTTGGTCTTAAACATTGCACTTCTTTATTATTGTTTCAAGCAGTAACAATACATGCGAATAAATCCAAATTTTCAAGAAATTACACTTTTAAGTCCTTCCTGTGCCTACTCCAGAGCTTCTCGGATCAAACAGAAGCATAGGCAGGGGAGATATGAAGTAATATCAAATCACAAAGGTAGAAATCCTATAAACAAAACAGTCAAAACTCATCAATAAATAAGTACAGAATACAGATGAACCATTTACTAATAGAAAGAGCAAAATCAAATCACAGAAGGTAGAAATCTTATATACAGTCAGAACTCATCAATAAATAGGTATAGATGAACCATTTACTGATAGAAAGAGACCACTACTGTAACTTGATATGCAAGATTTTTCTTATCGATTTTTCTTTTTTGTTACATTAAGGGATTCGGTCTTAAACGATTGCACTTCTTTATCAATGTTTTAAACAGTAACAATGTCTGAGATTTTTAAATAGAATGGTAGTTAAACTTCTACTTGTACAAATATGACTATGAGAATGATAAAAGAACAATACATCTCAGTAACACTGAATATAACACTGGGCACGTGAATTAACCGATATGAAGTTTTTCTATTTTACTTAATAGTCTTGAATTTGAATTTTAAATATAAAATTATGTTAAATAATCATAAAAATGTTGTGTCGTCTTTAGTGATTCTATTCAGATCTAACAGATTATCTCTGGTGAAAAATATCTGAAGTATATAAAAAAAAAGTAACAGAGCACAAAAGATCCAGAAAATTAACACAAGCATTTATAACTATTTACTTTTCATGTTCTTTAATTTTATATACTTGATTGTAAATTCTGACTCTTGGAAACATAGAAAGCATAAGTTGGGAGAAAATATTTACCTATTCAGTGTGTTAAATTCAGATTAGTTCCTGTGTTTGACAAAGAATACACTTTAGTAATGAAAAAAAATATAATATATTTGCTTGTAAGAATCATGTGCTTCACATTCAAATGAGATGAAGTGAAATATTTGATGCATTATTAATTAATCACATGTAACTCCTTTTCAAAAAAATTAATCACATTATGTAACTGCAACTTTGACCTTAAAATAAAAATAACTATCGTTATGCAAATAAAAGTGTTAAATACGAGAATTAATTGAAGTATAGACAAAGAATGTGTGGAACTAACCAAGTTTTTAAGTAATTGCTGGTTTAAGATTCATACAGGTAATTGAAATAGTTTCCTCAACTAATAACATTCAATGTTAACTAATAACATCTGGTTTGATATGCAGACTATGAATAAAGTTTATGATCATGCTAAAAATTTGAACTGTGAATCCAAGAATTGCGATTCTTTGTACATTTCAAATCCCGTCATCCAAATTTGGCCTTAGGATCAGAAACAACAAAATCAACTAACTAAAAGAGGACACAAATATTACATTTCTAGCGTATGCTATTGAGCTAGGAGAATTCTAACCAATATCCTACCAATTATATTCCAAAGTGCATTTCTTGCTTTCACATATATCATCCGAAGCAAAAGTGAAAAAATTGCAAGAGGAATAAAAAAGGATCCTAATCATATAATCACGACAATGTAAAAAAAATGAAATTAAATTCAACATCTTGATCTAAGAAAATAGGAATCTCAATCCAAGAATTTTGATTCTTCCTATGCATTTCAAATTCTTCCAAAGTAGGCCTCAAGATCACAGACAACAAATTCAACTAACAGAAAGAGAAGGACACGTGTATTTATAGCATCTAGAGTGCATTTCTTACACGGAAGGAGAATTCTAACCAGTACACCTAGCAATTACACTCTAGACTAGAGTGCATTTCTTGCTTCCGCATCATCCAAAGCAAAAAGGAATATTCCAAGCAAACTCCAAAAGAGGCACAATTCTAGAGGGTCCAATGCCATTTACCATTAATCCAAAGACTTTAAAGGAAAAGAATAAGATAAATACTAGCCAGCAACAACTCTCTAACATCCTCCTTCTAACATACGTTCTATTATTATTGACTAAAATTTATTAAAAATTATGCAAGTCATACTTTTTATTTAATAAGTTGTGATATCATACTTTTTAATAATTTTTTACTATTAGAAGAGAATATATCAGAAAGAGTATGTTTATAGTATTCTTTGGAGAATAAATAACATATTGAAGTTTATATCAGTGAATGCAAAGGAAGATGTTTTTCTTGTAATATTCTTAGAATTAGAACCATGATCAACATCAGACAACATATGAGCAATTCTTGTAAACCATTCCAGTACTTAACCTTAAGCCGGGAATAATTGGAACACTTTGGCTCCAATCTAAATATCTGAGTGGAGCAACCATTGAAAGCACAATACACTAGTACTGTCTTATCACAATTTACCTTAATCACAGCAATGAACAACCTTTAGGGTCTGATGACCTTCCTTGTCAATAGATCTAAGTGCATACATGTTCCGTTGTCAAACTGCAAACTTGCCACAATAATTAGTTCTGACGAATTTCACGTGACTGTTGCCTTTTTCCTTCAAATGCACGATGGTTACCTTTCTTATGCAGATATAGTGCTCCATATGATGAACTCCTTGTAGTAAAGCGGTAAGAGTATGATTTGACAACGTTTTACTGCTTGAGATGTCCCCGCTTAAGTGACTTCAGCAAACCTAATATGAAAATTTGCATAATTTAAATTGAACTTCAAATAAAGTAAAGGTAGGAAAACAATACGTATACTAATCAAATTCATCCATCGGGGCTTGAACACAATACACTGCTATAACATAAGTAAAGTCTATTCTATATTTCTCTTTTTAATCATGATATTAATACAAAATATTTAATATAAAAAATAGTAATTAAATTTTTTTTGAAAACTTTCAACGTTAACAAAGTGTATATTCTCGTTTAATATAATATATTCCTTATTCAAGGTTAATGGATTAGGAAAGAGACAACCCCTTTGGTCAGGGGATAAACCGAATAACCCCAACACCAGGAAAAAATTGATTGATGAAACAACACGTAAACTATTTAGCTATGGTGCAAACCGAATACCCATCCGGCCTTGACATGACCCGAGCGTACTTTCGGTTAAATCCTAGAACCCAAGAAAACACTTTGGGTAGGACACCAATCTCGGGCATGCTACAAGCTGAGCACATACTCAACCAACAAAGAATAAGTTATCCTCACTGATTAATCTGACCCACATTAATAGTAAATTAAATAATAAAACACCCACGTCATCATGAATTAAGATTTAATTTACTAATTATCCAAGTCACAATCAAGAAAGCCCATCAGATCCAAATACGTCACTATAAATAAGAGACTGGTGGAATAGGAAAAAAAGGTATGATCATTTAATATTACTGCATTTATTGCTCTGAACCGAACACTTACTTGAACGTTAGAGTGCCTTTACAGGTACCCTCCCTACCATTCAGAGCAAGGATTCGAGCAATTATTATCTCAGAGTTCTAAAGATTAGCAATCGAGGAGAAGATCAACGGGAAAGTGTTTCTTACAGGAACATTTTGACGCCTACTGTAGGGCCGATTCCTACATGGTTTCAACCCCTTGAGTCAAGATGGTAGCAACTAGAAGCCAACAAGAGAATATGACTATCAACAACTTGGGAATGCCCCAAGAGCCAAGGCAACTAAGGAATCAGACCGAAGGAGAAGGGATGGAAGAATCCTACGAAGACTGTTCTCAACCGGCTAACCTATGCTCGACAATAGAATAATTGAGAGTTGAGATGAT